AAGTTTTAAAAATAGCTATTGTAAAAGTGATGCACAGAAGGATTACAGTTATATGTCTGGTAAAGAGTACCTTTCTTTTTGGACAATATCACTCCTTCCTGAGCTTTTTTTTGCTCATGGTTAGCGCTCTACCACTTGAACCACAGCTCTACTTCCAGCTTTTTGGTGGTTAATTGGAGGTAAGAGTCTCATGGACTTTCCTGCCCAGGCTGGCTTTGAACCACAACCCTCAGATCTCAGCCTCCTGAGTAGCTAGTATTACAGGCGTGAGCCACCAGCACCTGACTTGCAATGCCTTTCTTGAAACTGTATTGCTTACTGGAGGTCAGAACACAATTGTCCTTCAAACTGTTTTGTGTGCCAGAGAATTTCTTTATACCAGCTTGTTAAAATGAAGGTTCTAGGAAATCTCTTAGAAAGTGTGTAAATACTGGCATGATTCTGAGGCAAGCACTTCTGGGCCATCTTTTGAGGGACACAGCTAGACAGCCCCTTAAAGAAAGCTCAATTGAGCCCATGGCCCTTGCAGTGGCTCATGCCTATAGTCCTAGCTACTCAGGAGGCTGAGATCTGAGGATTGCAGTTTGAAGCTAGCCTGGAAGGAAAATTCCACGAGATCCTTATTTTCAATTAAACACACACACACACACACACACACATACACACCAAGTCACCACTTTAGAGACATATCCTCTGAATACCCTAAAGTAGCATCCCTTCAGTCCCCAGTACTCCTTCTAGCTACCCTACTCTGATTTCTCTTATTTATAGCACTTACCACTCTCTGGAACTGTCTGTCCCCTTGTGTATGGATTGTATCTGTGTGACCTCCCTCCCCAACACAAAATGTAAGCTCCAATGTAACAGGAACCTGATCACGTTCATCTTTATATCTCTGGTTTCAGAACAAGGCATGGCCCAGAGGAGGCACCTGATAAAAACGGAATGAAAAGTCTGGGGAACAGTGTGAATAGATTTGTCATGACAATTAGTTACTGGATGTTTGAGGAGGGAGGGAGGGTGACAAGAAACAGCCTGCCTGTAATCAGGATACTAGTTAGGTAGGATGTTTCTTAATTGGTACAGGAGAGATGAATGTTTTGTGTGTGTTTGTGCCAGTTCTGGAACTTTTATGTCACAGCTCCACTTCTGTTTATTTGGTGGTTAAGTAGAGATAAAAAGTCTCACTCAGTCTGGCTTTGAATAGTGATACTCAGATCTCAGCCTCCTGAGTAGCTAGGATGACAAGTATGAGCCACCAGCACCCAGATTAAGGAAGTGACACTTTTTGCTGAGTCCCAAAGGAGGATCAGAGTCATCCCTAAGAGGAAAGGGAGCAGAGGAAATCTCCTCCCCAAGTCCTGTACCTCCTGGTTCTCTTCAATCTTCTCTAGTTTCACCTTTCAGTGTCTTTCAGTGCCTCAAATACAACCATTTCGGCTGGTAACAAAACTTTCCTGGAATGCTTTCATCAGTTCTCTCTCCTTTTTCCCTCCTCTGCCAAGCTTTCCAAAGTAAACTTCAGTGTCTTTTTAAATGTTGCTTTCTCAGGAGCCCCTCTGTGGCCTCTGACTGATTTTTTTGGTGGATAATTAGAGATAAGTCTCCGTAGCTCCCTGTGATTTCCCTCCAAACCACTTCAAAGAACTATTGTCGTTCAATTATTTATAAAGAGCTATTTGCTATCTGGGTTTCCTGCTATGCATAAATTCTGCTATGTCTGGCTTATTCTTGCTCTTGGAGTCCAACCTAGGCTGGTTGGATGACAAGCTGCAGGACAGGCTGGGCAGCTTAAGTGTTTGGACATATGATAGGGGGAAAGAATGACTTTTGTTTAGGTGGGATTGCAAATCCGAAGTGTATAGACGTAATTGGATTGGCAATAGATCATATTTGATTATATTTTATGGCAGTTACCAGTTTTGTTATCCTAGCTTCACAGGAGGCTGAGATCTGAGGATTTTGGTTCAAAGTCAGCCTGGGCAGGAAAGTCCATGTGAATTTTTTCTCTAATCGCCAGGAAGCCAGAAGTGGAGCTGTGGTTCCAGTGGTAGACTGGCAGCCATGATCAGAAAAGCCAATCAAGAGCACAAGGTCCTGAATTCAAGCCCCAGTGGGGAAATTTTTAAAAACTTTGTGCTCTGTCTGGCCATGTGTATCTTCTGCCATGTTGATGTAGTGCCCACCAGATGTCAGTTGCATATTCTTGAACTTCCCAGAAACATGAATTAAGTAAACTTCTAGTTAATAAATTACCCAGGTTATGGTATTCAGTTATAGAAACAGAAAACAGACTAAGACACCTAGTAATTATTGGCCCTGTATGCCAAGCAGATAATGCACATGAGCAGTTGCAGAGGGGCTTATGGCTCTGATGAAAGCGGGGAATATCCAGGGTGTAGGGGAAATGGAACCTCTTGAAGGTTTTTCTGTTTCAAAGGACTTAGGATGCAGAATAGAGAAAAAATTGTTATCTATACCCTCTGAAATTTCAGTAATTTGGTCAAATAACACACACTGACAATGGATAATTAGGAGAAAACCCATTTTTAATGACATCTGCCCACTCTCAGTTCCCACAAAATAGGAGACAAAGAAGACCTAGATGAGCAAAGTTTTTCTAGCATCCTGAGCTAAAAGATAAGCACTTTTGGCTTTTAGGGAAGGTGATGAGAGGGTGACAAAAGGGAAGCAAATGAATGGTGGATTGAAGTTTCTTTCTCTTGGGTAATAAAAATTGCCAGAGAGCAGCAGCCCTCTGTGACAAAGCCTGTCTCCTTACCTACTAGTTAATCTTCTCTGGTAGAAGATTCCCGGGCAGGGCACAAATGACCACTGAAATTCCCCATTAGAGGAGGGGTGTGCCCATCTCTAGGCAGATGAGAGACTTTCAAAGAAAATCTCACAGCATTTAGGTGGGGGGATAGAGGGATTAGAGGGCCTGGGTTCTGAGCCTGCTTCTAAAGCCTTCCTGTATCTCTCTACTTTAGCATGCCAAAGTACAATATTTTGGGGAATTTGTTGTTATTGGTCAACTCCCCCTTCCCTCCCCCCCCCCCCCCCCAGCCAGCCACTGAGCCACCTTCCCAGCCCTAGCTGATTTTTGGAGTACACAAGGATTCTTAAGCAGAAAGGTACATGTATAAATGTTAATGGAGTCTTGAGAAAGGAATGGACATACCTTTGTCCCTCCCATCCCTCCCCAAGACTGCTGCTGCTCAGGCAGTAAGGGCACACATCAGCCCCAAACCCAGAAACAGTTTCATTTCCCAGACAGATTCATTTTGTGCCATTGGTGTGACAGAGATTAGAGCAGGATAGTGAGTCTCAAGAGTTGCCACCTTGGGCTGGGAAGGTGGCTCAGTGGTAGAGTGCTTGCCTCGCATGCATGAGGCCCTGGGTTGGATTCCTCAGCACCACATAAGCAAAACGAAAAAAGCCAGAAGTTGCCCTGTAGTTCAAGTGGTAGAGCACTAGCCTTGAGCTGAAGAACTGAGGGACAGCACCTAGGCCCAGAGTTCAAGCCCCACAAAAGGCAAACAAATAAAAGAGTTGCCACCTCAAGCAACTGACACTGAGAGTTAGATTAACCAGTCACTATCCTTTAACTCAGAAAAAACTTCTAGAAGATATGTACCTCCTAAAAATCAAGAACCTTTGAAATGTCTGAGATTGTTTCTTTCGCCCAGATGTAAACTGAAAAGCATATCACAGCAAATGTAAAGTGGCTGTCAAAAAGCTAGGGAATGGAGGTCTAGGATTCTACCAGACCTCATGCTAAGCTAAAGAAAGCCTGTCAGTTGAGAGGGAAGAAGTGATTTGGGTCCAGATGGAGACTGCTGAGCAGCAGGCACATTTGAGGTAAGATGACAGGTGGCCCTACTGGGAAGAGTAGCCTGGGAAGAAGGCAGGTGTTGGAGGAACTGCCTTTAATACTCAAGGGTAGGATATCTGTAGCAGCCAATCATGTTGATTAAAAAATAATCCGACACTTGGGAATATGCTGGTATCATTAACTTCATTGAAATTTCCAATATCCATTGAAATGATACTGTGTGTGTGTGTGTGTACTGGGCTTGAATTCAGGGTCACCACTTGATCCATAGCTCCACATCTGCCTTTTTGCTGGTTAATTGGCCATAAATCTCACAGCTTCAAACGGAGGTTCTCAGATCTCAGCCTCCTGAATGGCTACGATTACAGGCGTGAGGCTCCACATCTGCCTTTTTGCTGGTTAATTGGAGATAAATCTCACAGCTTCAAACGGAGGTTCTCAGATCTCAGCCTCCTGAATGGCTACGATTACAGGCGTGAGGCTCTCGCCCCGGGCTGAGATGATACTTGCAGTATCTTACAGTTCTCCAAAGTTAAGACACTGAGGCCCAGAAAGAAAGGAAGCCAAGTGCCCGGGCTGACCAAGTGGTGTAGGGATCATCTCATTAAAGAGCCCGATCAGCCCCCTGCAGGGGCTGGCGCTGGGGTCGAAGCGGGGTGCGGGGTGCGGGCTGATCCCTTGTCTCCAGTTCTGAGCGGAAGGAAGCAAACCTGCAGAACCCACAGGCGCCGGCGGACGTGCCTCCCTGCCAACACCTTTTGTGCTTTTTAGCGCGAAAACGATTTCAAACCCCAGGCGTTGGAACTACATTTCCCACGATGCCCCAGAAGGCAGCATTTCCTTGCTGGAGAATTTGCCCCAAAATAGCCCAGCGTGTGCAGACCCGGATCCGCGACGACACCCACATCGAAGACCTAGTCTCCGCACTCTATAGCCTAGGTGGAATCACTTTTTTCCCCCTTTTCCGGCCCGAGACTTCCGTTCCCAGCGGGAACACCGGATGCCATTCTTCTGGTGGGAAAGCTCGGAGCAAGTATTGTCAAACGGCAGGGGTACGCAGGGCGCATGCGCCCGCCCGCCCGCCCCGGACCCGCCTGGGAGGCCGTCAGGACTCCACGGAAAAAAAAAAAACCTGCATGTGCGCATGCGCCCACGGCACCCGCCCGCTCCAGATCCACCCGGGGAGGCCGTCGCTGCTCAGCCAAAACCTGCGCACGCGCAGAGCGTCAACCAACGCCCGGGAGTTCAGGCGCGGCTTTGGTGGCGCGTTTTAGCGAAGTCGCACGTGAAAGATAGCGGTGGCCGGAGATCGGTGAGTGTGCGCGGGGATCCGGGCGGGGAGGCCACACGCGGGATGGGGAGGCGGCCGCGCTGCAGGCAGCACCGGGGTGGAGCCGCAAGTCGGCTTGCAAGTCCGACTGGGGAGGGAGGAAAGGCCGGGGGGGGGGGTTCCGGACGTCGAGCAGCAGTGGAAGCGATCCGGGGACTGGGGATCCCCGTGGCCGTGCAGCCTGGGGGGGGGCATTGTTGCTAGGTGACCCGGGAGGCGCCGATTTCCTGGGTGGCCTGGGTTCGAATGCTGCGCTGCTCGGTGATGGGGTGGAAGCGGGGCGGCCGCCAGGTGGGAGAGGGAGGGGCGTCGGTGCTGGGCATTGTTGTGCGACCCCCAGCCCAGGGCCCAGCCTTCTCCTAGGTCTTGGTTCGAGCCCTCCCAGGTTCCCTGAGCTCATGGGCCGAGGCCACATCCCACGCCGGCGACGCCACCGTGCAGCCCTTGGCAGGGGACGCCGCGTTCGAAATAGCACTTGCCACCGACACCCCGTGTCCCGGCGTCCCGGGCCGCAGAGCCGCCCCTGCGCACCCGCCCTGCCCCCAAACAGTTGCTGGGCAGCTGCTGTCGGGTTTAGCGGGGACCGCCTCCCACCCGCCGGGACGGGGACTTCGTTCTCCCCCGTGGTGCCTTCTCTGTGCTATTTAGGATCTTTCTTGCACCCAGCAGTTGTTTTCCTGGTGGCCATTGTATATGAAAATAGCGTTCCTCCTCATGACTATCAGGGCCCTACCCTGGTGGCTTCTTGGCAGCCCTCGGATATTCATGTAACAAGTGTTGGTTAGTCATCCTTCTGTGCTAGGTGCTGGGCATTCCAAGAAGTTAGTTGTCAAGACGGAAAGGGACAGCCCAGTTTAGCTGGGAGGCTGACAGATAAACCGCTACGTTACAATGTAATAGAGTAGTGTGTTTGCAAAGTTAGGTGCTACTAAACCGTGGAGAGCTACAAAGCGTTAGCAGAAACATCTTAACTCTTTGTAACAGCTTTGAACCCATGCCAACTGGAATTACATTTGAGGAGGCTGAAACAGATTAAGTAACAGGTATCAAGGTGATAGCTTCTTGTTGGTGGCAGAATTGAGCCTGGGTTGGAAGTCTTAAGGTCATTTGGACACCGTTACACAGATCTAATCTGACTTTGTCTGCTTTGCCCACTTGGCCCTGGGTTCTAGGTCCTTTGCAGCAGCTGCATGGTTATGCATTGGAAATCTCTGGAGAAGTGTTATAAACAAAAGCCTGCGAGAGACTCTGGGTGGGGTAGACATCTCTTGTTTAACAGGTTGTGCAGGCAATTCTGGTGGACAGAGTTGAGCAGATTGGAATAGGAATCGCCAAGAATAGTGATGGGACCGTCAGGGCCAACAGAGGGTACCAGGTCAGCTGCCCCTTCTGCCCCGTAGTGATTTATAGCATGAAAGGAGAGAAAAGAGGAAGGAGCATCGACAGAGGTTTATGTGGCTAGCTCCTCCTTTTCCTCACAGAGCAAACCACAATTGAACATATAACCCCTTCTTAGTACTGTAATAAGTAAAACAGTTTCTTCAGCGGAGCTGGCTTCTCCTGCGCCAGCCGAAGCCGTGTTACAGCTGTCTGAGCAGGAGTGGCAGGTCTTGCCCAACTTTGGCTGATGGTAAAGAATCATCATCTGATGTGTGGTCTCCTCAGGGGATTCTAGAGCTTGTTAGTATTTGGCAGGACTTAAGTTCCTGAGGATGAGGAGCATGTCTTACCTAAGGCAGTGTGAGGGTGTAGGCAAAAGGGCAGACCTGAGTTCCTGGGTTCTGGAATCGAGTTCCAGTTCTACTGTGTGATACTGGATGAACTTGGCCTCTCTAAGTCATACTTGTCTGAGTAAAATGAGGGAATAGTATGAACTGAAAAAGGTTGTTCTACAGCTAGGTGCCAGTGGCTCACACCTATAATTCTAGCTACTCAGGAGACTGAGATCTGAGGATGGTAATTCAAAGCCAGTCTAGGCAGGAAATTCCAACTAACCACCAAAAAAAGTTGGAAGTGGAGCTGTGGCTCAAGTGGTAGAGTGCTAAGCCTTGAACAGAAAAAGCATGGCATCTTTCTTACCAGAAGTATTTGAAACAAGCACCAGTGCCTCTCACCTGTAATAGCTACTCTGGAGGTTGAGATCTGAGGGTTTGAAGTACAAAACCAACCCTGGCTGGAAAGTCCACGAAGGTAAGTTAACCACCAAAAAGCTGGAAGTGGAGCTGTGGCTCAAGTAGTAGAGTGATAGCCTTGACTGAAAAAGCTCAGGGACAACTCCTTTAAGCCCTGAGTTTAAGTCCCAGTACTGGCATGTGTGTGGGCTTGTGCGAGTGCATGCACACGTGCGTGAGTGCACACACACACATAGATGCACACATGCGTGAGTGCACACACACACACGCACACAGAGTATTTGAAAGGATTGTAGATGTAGCTCAATGATAGAGTGGCTGTCTAGCATACCCAAGGCCCTGGATACTATCCCCAGCACTATAAACACACATACACACACACCTACACTTGATTGGGCCAAAGTGGGAGACAGGATGGTAATGGTGGGTCAGAATCCTAGTGCCTGACTTTAACTGGGAAGAAGAGAGGAGGAGCCCTGGTCAGGAAAAGACGCGCGAGAAAGGAACCAGAGTCACTACACTGGTTTGCGGAATGGTCTACCCCAGACTCCTGCTAGACTTGGTTTCTGGCATTCTTCAGAGGGTAGGCTGGCCTCACTATGGAGAGTTTATTTCCAGGTCCTCAGTCTGGGACAGATGGCCACTTGAGGGAGGCTGGCACTGATCACCCTGACCTTTTTTTTCCTGGGGGAGGGACAACATCTGATACCTGCTGCTGGAGGTCCTTGGGTATAGGATCCAACCAAAGATAGCCACCCCACTCCTGAAGTCCCCAATGTGTTTATGTCCCAGAAAGCTCAGGGTCTGACCTGGGTTTGCTTCCTCTCTACTGCTGGCAGGCAGGAGCCACCTGGTTCTTGGTTTGTGCCAGGAAGAATAGAAGGCTTTCCCAGCCCCAACCCATGGCTTATGAATTGTGTTAGACAACCCTGCCTGACTGTACAGGCCTAGGCAGGGGCTTTGGGTAGCCATTTCTAGGCCAGAAGGTTTTTTTTTTTTCTTCCTTTTTTTCCAGGGCTGAGGACAGAACACAGGGCCTTGCGCGTGCCGGGCGGGCACCCTTTCGCTGTGCTAAACCCCCAGCCCCTTTTGTTTTGTTTTTTATTGTTTTTCTCTTCTCTTCCATCCTTTTCTCCTTTAAAAGGTGGCTGCTGAGTTTTGGCCAACTCCCAGGGGTGCCTTGGTAACTGCAACATAAACTCAGGTGTGTTTGAAAGGGTTGCAGAAAGCCAGGCTAAAAGGCCAAGTTCGAACATCTGGCTCCTTCTACCTTGGAGCTAAGTGGCTTTCTTAGTCAAGTTACTTAGCTTCAGATCACCAGGTCTGAATCACTGAAATTCCCTGGAGCTGCAGGTGCCTTGCAGACCTGCAGAACGGGGGATTTGTGGGTGCTGTCTGGACAATTCACAAGCATGGTGAAAAGTAGCAGGTGGACCTGCCGAAGTTTTTCTTGGCTGATCCTCTCCTGCTGCACTAACTTGTCAGGTCTTAGCTTGTCCATGGAGCTCAGAGCCCCAAACGCAAAACACTTAGGTGAATTTTTGCCAGCAATTCACCAAGAAGGCTGGTACATGCCAAGTTTATTTTAGTTCATGAATACTCTTTTTTTTTTTTTGGGGTCCGGTCGTGGGGCCTGAATTCTGGGCCTGGACGCTGTCCCTCAACTCTTCAGCTCAAGGCTAGCGCTCTACCACTTGAGCCACAGCACCACTTCCGCCTTTTTTTTCTGCTTATGTGGTGCTGAGGAATCGAACCCAGGGCCTCAGGCATGCAAGGCAAGCGCCCTACCACTGAGCCACCTTCCCAGCCCTGAATAATCTTTTATGTGACTTTTTTTTTTTTTTTTGATGGTCATGGGGCTTCAACCCCAGGCCTAGGCGCTGTCCCTGAGCTCTTTTGCTCAAGACTAGCACTCCACCACTTTGAGCCATAGCGCCACTTCTGGTTTTCTAGTGGTTGATTAGAAATAAGAGTCTCGTGGACTTTCCTGCCCAGGCTGGCTTTGAACCATGATCCTCACTCTCAGTCTCCTGAGTAGCTAGGGTTACAGGTGTGAGCCACCAGTGCCCAGTGTGACTTTCTAAGCAGCTCTTGAGACCGAAATAAGAGATGGCATAGTAGAGTGGCTGTATGTAAGGAGTCCAATGATGGATCCTTCCTCCATTTTTCCCCTTTGGGAAACAATAGCCAGCCCTATCTGACAGGTAATTGTGCAATTGAGATAAACAGTTCATAAGGAACATGTTAGCTCTGTGTGTGTGCATGCATGTGTGTACATGTATATGCACACTCACATACCAGTATTGCAGTTTGAACTCAAGGCCTGGGCATTATCCCTGAACTTTTTTTGCTCAAGGCCAGTGCTACCACAGGTCTACTAGCTTTTTGTTGGAGATAATGTTCCTTCTTGGGTCAGCTTTGAACCTTGAACCTCTAGATCTCAGCCTCCAGAGCAGCTAAGATTACATCTATGAGCCACCGGCACCAGCCACGTTAGCTTCTTTTTGGGGGGAGGTACGGTTGTGGGGCCTGAACTCTGGGCCTGGGTGCTGTCTCTCTTCAGGTCTTCAGCGCTCTACCACTTGAGCCACAGTGCCACTTCTGGCTTTTTTTCTTTTTGCTTATGTGGTGCTGGGGAATCCAACCCAGGGCCTCATGCATGCAAAGCAAGCGCTCTACCACTGAGCCACCTTCCCAGCCCCCCACGTTAGCTTCTTAATTCATCATGTTTTTTTCCTTTAAGGTTGTTCTTCAAGCCTTTGCCTATTGGAAGCCAGGCTGTGACACCAGCAGTTGTATGTTATAGATACAGCATTTTGATTCCATCCACATTTCCAGGCTGAGAGCTCCTATAGCCCTTGTCATTTCCCAAGTGACTAAAACAACAAGAATACCTTTTGCTAAAATGTTTTTTTTTTGGGGGGGGGAGTGGCATAGCTTCCTGAAACATCTTCAGAAGCTGAAGGTAAAAGACAGAGTTGGCTTTTGGGCTGTTTACTTTGTTGTTATTTATAATAAGTCCTCTCAAATGCACCCGAGTTTAAGTTAATACGGCCATTGAAGGAAGATTCCTTACATAACCACAGGATAAAGGCCTATTCCCCAGAGAGGCAGCCAGGTGCCAATCCTCTGGGGAAGCGGGGCAAAGGATTGAATGGATCATCAACAGCTGTTTGGAGGATCGAGCCTATAGAATGAAACGTGAGGAAGAACAGGGTTTGGAGAGCTTCATGACCCTGGAACACGTGGAGGCTCCTGGAGGGTGGTGGACATGAATCAGGCCTTGCCGCTCCTTCCACCTTGTCCTATCTAGCTTTGCATTGTAACCAAACCTGAGAAGGGAGTTAGGGATAGGGACTCTTATGCCCAGTGGGTTGGAAGCACAGATAAAACGACCAGGGATTTGTGATTGCATCTGAAGTTGTTACTGGGCCCAAATCTGCCAGAAGGACACGACTAGATCGAGGTGGTGGTGAGGAAATCAGGTTCAGCCAAAGGCTGACCCTGAGAAGATGGAGCGATGATTGTCCTTCCAGGTCCAGCTTTAGGGAAGGAACTCAGATATGGAAAAGGGACTTTATAGGAAGGGAGAGGTGTGGGGTGCAATGGGCAGTGTGTTCAATGGGGTCTTCTCATTCAGTGTATGCAACTTTTCTTTACCCGGAACATACAATGAACCTTGATTCCCTGGGTGTTACTGCCTGTAGTTGTTGAGGAAGACATACTACTTTTCTGAAAGTTTGATACCATAGCAGCATATGTACATTCTGTTAGTTGGACTATTTTTTAAATTTTTTATTTATTTTTGTATTTATGTGGTATAGAGGAATCGAACCCAAAGCCTCATGCATGCCAGATAAGCACTATACCACTAAGCCACATTCCTTGCCCGTTAGTTGGACTATTATACAGTCCAGTGTGAACTGGATGCCAGTGGCTCAGGCCTGTAGTCCTAGCTACTCAGGAGGCTGAGATCTGAGGACCACAGTTGGAAGCCAGACTGGACAGGAAAATTCGTGAGACTCTTTATCTCTAATTAACCAGCAAAAAAACTGGAAGTAGAGCTGTGGCACAAGTCGTTGAGCCCCAGCTTTGAGCAACACAGTTGAGACAAGGTGTCAAAGCCCAACTTCATGCCTTCCTCCACTCCCCCCCTCCCTGCCCAAACATTAGAGTATTAGCATCTTAATCATTCAGATGTAACTTCTCCTTAGAATTTCTAATGCTAGGAAAAGGGAAAGGAGTCATGTGGGGATCTTTTATCTTAAACCTAAGTCTCATCCAGACAATACTAGACAATTCCAGGAGAAGCTCTGCTTGGGGCACAGACATGATGCTCCAGGTGGTTCCACTGAGCAGCTTTGGTTGAGAACCCCTATACACCCTGCCTCCCAACAAGTGTAGAATCTGGAGTTCATATCCTGGCCTTTCGCTTCTTAGAAGTCTCTTCTGTACCAAGAGGGGCCAGGAGGAGAGCAGGCGCCTTGTATAATGGCCCTGCAGAGCCAGTGACACAAATGCAGTCATTCTTGTTTGAGCACCCAACCAAGCCCTTGGCTTTACTTCATTGCACAGTGCTAATCTTCTTAGTGTGCTATTTTAAAGGTGCCTTTTATATCAGCTTTGTCTTAAGTAGATTAGAAACTTTGGGGGGATGAAGCCTTGGAATCTTACCATTCTTTTATGCCCATGGCACCTAAGATATAGAAATAAGCCTTCAGGTTTATACAAGAATAATTTTTTTTTTGCCAGTATGGGGGCTTGAACTCAGGGCCTTGCACTCTTGCTTGGATTTTTTTTTTTGGGGTCCAGTCATGGGGCCTGAACTCTGGGCCTGGGCGCTGTCCCTCAGTTCTTCAGCTCAAGGCTAGCGCTCTACCACTTGAGCCACAGCGCCACTTCCGGCTTTTTTCTTTTTGCTTATGTGGTGCTGAGGAATCGAACCCAGGGCCTTGAGCATGCAAGGCAAGTGCTCTACCACTGAGCTACCTTCTCAGCCCTGGATTTTTTGCTGGAGGCTGATGCTCTACCACTTGAGCCACAGCTCCACTTCTGGCTTTTGGGGCTTAACTTGGAGATAAGAGTCTCACAGACATTTCTGCCCAGGTTAGCTTTGAACTGTGATCCTCAGATCTCAGCCTGTTGAGTAACTGGGATTGTAGGCGTGAGCCCAGCACCCAGCATGGGAAAGAAATTTTCTTGGTTTACCCCAAGTCATTGAATAATGAAGCACTTTCTGGCTTACTAACATGAAGTGGGGAGGGAAGCAGAAGAGAAACTTGAGAATCAGATAGTAGAGCCTAGCTTCAATTGTAAGTTCCAGTTCTTCCTCAGCAAGCAGCTCTTTCTTGGTCTATCTAGGGCGTTTGCTGCGTTTAGCTAGGGGGTTTCCTGGGCACAGGGCTGAAGGAAGATGTCGGCAAATCAGCCAGGAATGGGTGTGTCTACCAGGTCCTACCCTCAGTTTCCCCTGTGCTTCTTTCCTGGCAGGTCCAGTCATGGCAGGCTCAGGCACCTGTTCACCATGGGGCAAGCATCTGCTCAGAGCCATCCCAATGGTCCTCGTGGGCCTAACTCTTCTCCATTCAGCATCATCCCAGTCCCATCGAGACTTTGCCCCACCTGGCCAGCAGAGAAGAGAGGCCTCAGCTGACCTGCTGACCCAGATTGGCCGGTCTCTGTGGGAGATACTGGATACCTGGCTGGGGCCTGAGACCATGCACTTGGTTTCAGAGGTAAGAATGGTTCTTCTGCTATGGCTCGCCATGCACACAGGACAGAAAAGCAAAGACATTACTAAGGCCACCACATCTTCTCTGTGTCATAATCCTGGTGCAGAGAACCCCCAATTCCACTAAAAGCAGCTGACACCTACAGCTTGTTTTCTTTTTCTTTTCTTTCTTTTTTTTTGTCGGTCGTGGGGCTTGAACTCTGGGCCTGAGCGCTGTTCCTCTGCTCTTCAGCTCAAGGCTAGCGCTCTACCACTTGAGCTACAGCGCCACTTGCGGTTTTCTGGTGGTTTATTGGAGATAAGAGTTTCATGGACATTCCTGCCCGGGCTGGCTTTGAACCGAGATCCTCAGATCTCAGCCTTCTGAGTAGCTAGGATTACAGGTGTGATCCACTGGCGCCCGGCTCTACAGCTTGTTTTCTGTGTTTGATTCCCATGCCGAGGGCCGTTTATCCCCCACCTCTGTCTTTCCCTGGCTATGGCCAAAGGCTGGGAAATGAGCCATCCTTGGGGGAACTAGAGGCTGACTTTGATTGAAACCTGACAGAGCGCCTTAAACAAGCAACACGGAGCCCCAAGTCAGGGTCTTCACTCATAGCAGTGAGTATAGGATTGATGGAGACTTATGGCTGGGTCATCTCTTCTAACCAGTGATGTTCCGAGGATGTGTCCTGTCCTGTCAATGCATCAGTTATCAATTGGTCATACTGAAAGGCAGATTTAGTTATTTACAACATCCCGCCACAGTACCACAGTAAACTCCTTTATCATTGGAGCCTCCAAGTCCCTTACAGAGGCACACACACACACACACACACACACCCCTCTCCAGGATCACACACACACACACACACACACACGCACGCACACACACACGCACACACACACACCCTGTCCAGGATTTGCTGGCAGCTTGAGGACTCCAGGTGTACAGGGTGACTCCTGAATGGATGGATGACCCCTCTCCCTTCACACAGAAGTGCACCCCATCCCAGCTGAACTAGGGTCCCAGACACCCTGATTTCTAGGTTAGGAGGAAGTGGCCTGTCACTTGGGGAAGTAGATGGGGAAGTAAGTCCCCTGACTTTAACCCAGGCCTATCACTGCTGGCTGGGAAATAGATCAGACCTTCCCTGCAGGCCTCCTCTAGGCTCTGGTGACCAAACATGGAGGAGGAGAGCCTCATTTAATCCTTCCCAATTCTCTCTCCATAGAGCCTGTCACAGGTGATGTGGGCCGTCTCCTCTGCCATCTCTGTGGCCTGCTTTGCCCTGTCTGGGATCTCCACACAGCTGTTGAATGCCTTGGGCCTGGATGGTGAGTGGCAGAGAACTGGCTAGCCGGCTGGAGTTTCGTCTCTACCCTCCTGTGGGTGGGAATCTATCTTTGTCAGGGGCTAGAGGACACTCCCCAAGAGTCCCTGGAAGTGTGAACAGTTTGTCTTCCCCTCCCCGCACCTCCAGGTGTCTTATTTGTGTAAGGCATTGGGTGAGACTGAGCATCTCCGGAGCTCAGTGAGACAGGACGAGTTAGTCTGTTAATAAATGGAACTGAGTCCTAGTTCTTTAATAGCAAGGCAGGAAGAATTACTGTTAGTAAAAGGAATTCAGTTCCATTTATTTATCCCTAGATGCCAAGTAGGGAAGTCATCTGCCTAGGGCCCCAGGGAGCGAGCTGAGATTCAAATCCATGTTTTTGTGTGTGCGTGTGCATGCATATGTACATGTGCACATGCACTCACACCAGTACTGGAGTTTGAACTCAGGGCCTTACACTCTTGCCTGGCCTTTTTGCTCAAGGCTGGCATTGTACCTCTTGAGCCACTTCTGGATTTTTACAGTTCAATTGGAGATAAGAGTCTCATGGATTTATCTTCCCCGGGCTGTCTTCAAGCTATGATCTTCAGTTTTCGGCTCCTAAGTAGTTAGGATTACAGGTGTGAGCCACTTGAGCCTGGCTCAAAGCCATGGCTCTTGAGGCTGTGGGGAGTGGAGAGGGGCTAGCTTCTCCCACTTCTCTGGTTCTTGCTCCTCAGCCTTCATCACTTCCCCAAGTTGCTGACTTTGTCATTCTCTCTTCTAGGTGACCACCTCACCCAATTCTTGAAGCTCAGTCCTAGCCAAGTCCAGACCTTCCTGCTGTGGGGAGCAGGGGCCCTGGTCACCTACTGGCTGTTGTCCCTGCTCCTTGGCTTGGTCTTGGCCGTGTTGGGGCGGATCCTGGGAGGTCTGAAGCTTGTCATCTTCCTGGCGGGTTTTGTGGCCCTGGTGAGGTCAGTGCCTGACCCTTCCACCCGGGCCTTGCTACTCCTGGCCCTGCTAACTCTCTACGCCTTGCTGAGCCGGCTCACTGGCTCCCGGGCCTCAGGGGCCCAACTGGAGGCCAAAATACGAGGGCTGGAGCGCCAGGTGGAAGAGCTGCGCTGGCGGCAGAGGCGAGTGGCCAAGGCCTCCCGGAATGTGGAAGAAGAGTGACAAGGATGTCCCCAGATGCCACCTTCACCATACCAAAGAGCTGAGCTGCTTCCGGGCTGAATGGCCCTCCTTGCAGCCCCCCCCATGCCCTTTCCTTGCCTTTGTGTCTGAACCTTCAGAATCTTTATCCCTGCCTAGCCCCTTGCTGAAAGGGCTGGTCCTCCACATGAGGCTGGCTGGCTGGGGGTGGGTTTCTGCCCACTCTCTCCTTCCAGCCTGTCTCAGCACAGCAGGTT